TCAGTGTTTAAAATGCATTGCAAAACATTTTTGATTTGAGCTTTCTCTGAAGTTAGGCCAAATTCTGCCTCTGGAAATTGTTTTTCAGACTAGTTGTTGGGTTCAGTAATACACTCAGGGGAAAGCGAAACTCTTGTTGCTATGACGTAAAACCTCCAGGTCTAAAAATGTAACTAAAGTAATGGGAAATTAAAGGTTTATGCCAATCCTTGCCTTTGAAATCCATGAATGGGGAAAAAAATGCATCAGAATGGTTGACCAATTTACCCCCACCCTGTACACACCACACCACTTCCCCGCACCACTTCCTCTGCACGCATACACACCCAAAACACAAATAATACATAGCTCATGTACTGTATTCAGTCCTCTGAAGGCTGCAGACCCAGAGACTCTACCGGGGAACACCCAAACACAAACACACACACACACACACATCAAAAAACCTACACAACATTTACCATTGTCCACTGCTGGGTGAGTACAGAGGCCAGTGGGTAGTACAGAGAGGTGCAAGTATGAATCAAATGATAAAGTGTAGACCCTGTATTTTTAAAGATTTCATCAGTAGTTATTTTATAGAATAATGTTTCTTAATAACGTTTTGTATGACTGTATTGAATGACAACACCTGAAGGTCATCATTCTGTACAGGGTTGTAACAGTAACCCAATCCTTGAGCAGTGGCCTCTCCCCATATCTATCCCAGAGTCGAGGCTGAAGACCCTGAATCTGTAATAGTCTATGTCCTTAAATCCTATAGTAGCCCCTGCCTTTAGTTTATTAGGTTCCTTATTATTTTATCTTGTTTAGTTTATTTTATTCTTGTTTCATTTTTTTATATATTACACTATAGTGTTTGTCTGTTTTTGGTAGAAGACATTATTATTATAATTCATATACACCAAAACAATATAAATGAGTCAGATGTGAGATTTTATCATACCATTTATACTGTTTTAACTAAACCTTTAATATTACTCTCTGAAACTAGATATCTGATCCTAGGCAAAAATAGACATCATGCGTGGCTACTTTATCTAATAGTTGTGTTTAATATTACTATATTTTGGCAAATATTATTATTGTTACATAGAAATTACATTTACTGCAATCACTCACCCTTCTCTAAAAGGTTATCTCTAAAAGAAACTCAAGTAATTCATGTATTATATGTTCTTGGGATGTGTTTCTCCAAGGGACGCACTGATATACAAGTACTTACATTTGAGTACTATATAAATGTTGCTAATGTTGTAAAAGTTCCTTAAAATATTTGTAAGCTGCCTAAATTGCTTGTCCAACACTTCCTTAACTAACAACAGGTTATGTAACATCCTGATACCCGATACTGGTATCAGTATTGGAGCATCCCCCCTATAAGTAATGTAAAATTATTCAATAAGAAATTCAAAATTGTTCTGATAGAACCAATAATAGATTCAGATCTGTCAATACATTTTAAGTCAGTTAACGCATGTTTTTGTACTTGTTTGCATGTTCACAGAGGATGTGTAAATATAATTTAAAAAAAAATATTAAATGTGTGGTTATGTAAATTGTCTAGGTGTTTTTAAGTGGGAACTGAAAAATCACTTAGTGGTTAGACTTTATAAGGAAATGGAACAGTGTACACAACCACAGTTTGATTCCTGGCCTGAATACAGTGTGTATACAGTACAGTTGTAGGAAGGAGAGCCAACAAAAGCTCTGAGGTCAAGGTGAGTTCTTGTAAAGAGACGAAGAGACAGAAGCAGAGCGGTTAGTCAGTCAGGGAGGGAAAGAGAGGCCGAGTGAAACTGAGGGACACACAGACAGAGAGAGAGAGAATGTGTTCATTCATGGCCACATTCAGTGGGCTGCGGGTTGAGAAAGGCCAGCACTGGAGCAACATGCGTAGGAGGGGTTAGCCAAACAGAGAGACACAGGCCTGGACACAGGACACACACACACACACACACACACACACACACACACGCAGGGACACGCCTCCACTTTTTCACACACGCCCACACACAACCAACACAACCAGCCACCGAGCACCTTACCAAAATGAACACGCCAACGCCACCTGACAAAGACAAAGTTATGTCGCCATGACAACAACAGCTTTTCACTGACTAATGCTGCAAAAGCAGATCAAGCCATTTCCTGGTGGAAAGACAAAATGCTGCACCGTAACAGCTCAGTGAAAACTTTTTTTTTCTTGCACAACATACTATCTTGATGACAGGTGCGTCAGACCAACGGCTCTGTTAACTGAGAAAGGTAACAGGAACCTATTTATTCAGTTACAAAATGTTGGTCGTTATGCCTTGATAAAGAGGAATTCATTTGTCTCTATTAGTTTGTCAGTTGGCACGCCTTCTTTGTTTATCTGATGATGGCTGTAAACGTATTATGTCAAGTCAGTTTTATTTGTATAGCCTAAAATCACAAATTTGCCAGAAGGGCTTTACAATTTGCACAACAAACGACACTGTCTATACTTAGAACTTACTCAACTAAACTACTTAACTCAGATAAGGACTTGGATTTGGACTCCCGAACCCCCCGTAATAACATTAAAGAGTCTGTACCAGAATCTCCAATTGTTGTTTTCTCCAAATAATTTATTCAGGTTTATCCTTCTGCCAGCCACTCTTTATGGTCTAGTGTGAGGGACAGTTGAAACGTCATAATTAAATAACTGCAACTAATTGATTAGATTATTTTCTCAATTAACAGTTTGGTCTATAAAACCTCCAAAACTGTCAAAAATCCCCTTCACAATATCCTAGAGTTCAAGCTGCTGCCATAACATTTCATTGTTTTGTCTGACCAAGAGTCTAAAACCCCAAAATATTCAATTTACAATAATGTAAGACCAAGAAAAGAAGCAAATTCTCTCATTTTAGAACTTGGAACCATTAAATGTTTGGCACTTTTGCTTGAAAAATGACAAACAATTATCAAAATAGTTGTGGATTACATTTTTTCCGACCGACTAATCGTTCCAGCTCTAAAAGTGAGTACACTGACAGTGAATGATTTCTGTTTCCATCCCAGTTAAACTTTAATTAAAACATGCAAAAGCAGAAGATGCTTATAAAACCTTGTAAAAACACTGGAGCAGCTACATTGCACTAGTGATCACAGCCTCCTCATTACAGGAGATGCTGAAGCCAATCCTTTTGTTATTGTTATGTCTTGGTTGATATCGGAGATTCTGTAATACATGTTCATACTCCGAGATATAAATTGGAGCAGTCAGGGGGGAAGCTAATTGTGGTTACTCAGAGGGAAGGAGGGAGGGAAGGTCAACTCTGCTCTGCATTCAAAGAGCACGAGACTATAAGAGGGGCAGGAGTGGGCGCCTCCTCTGGCCCAGAAGGAGCCAAGTGGTACATTCCAGCATATGGCACAGTTCAGACAACAGATGGAGACAGTCTGTGAGTTTCAACAGTAACCAGACCCTCTTCCCTTCACCTCCATTAGTACACGATAGCTGGCATAAGCTCCAAACTATGAGGGGTCTTTCCTGGCTGATACAGACGTGGCCGAGGGAAAAATAAAATACCACAAGAATACAATATTTGAGCATAGCGCAGAGATCAGCTCTGGTGCTCCTGGGAGTTGGCAGAGCCCCCCCCCAACCCTGCCTTCCCCTTCCTCCCTCTTCCTCTCATCACATTCCAGTACTAACTAAGTGTCAGGTGGCATCAATCCAATGATAGCCATCAAGCGTACGTGCCTTTGTGTGTGTGTGTGTGGGTTAAGACTGAGCACGTATGTGGGAGGGGGGCCATTCCTATGTGATTGTGGGGAGCTGCCAGTGAACGTGTGTGTGTGTGTGTGTATGTGTGTTATATGACAACTGGTCTTTACAACAGCATTCCTCTCCATCTCTAGGCCGACCGGGCAGAGCTCTAATACTGTACATAAGCAAAAGAAAAAAAGAGCACCTGTTTCATGAGACCTCTTGAACTTTTTAGGTGTAGCACAGTTTAGCATTTCATATTTCCACCAGGTCACTGAGGGGGTTACAGTGCGGCCTAACTGTTACATCAGCTATTATGCAAACCCCACATCCTTTGTGAAACCTTTAAAACTATTAGCTGGTTTTTAGTAAAAAAAAAAAACCCTCAAACCAAGAAGAGAGGAGTCAAACTGTGACCTCACCCCAAAGTGGGCATCTTCAGCGTCCATACTGTAACCGGTGGGGCCCACACCTGTCAACTGGTGACTGTCAGAGAGGAGTGTGGTAAGTTTATTGGGCCAGGAGCAGCTCAAATGATGCAGTGACTATTAATGAAGGTTCTTCTGAGTGGCACCACAAACAAAGTGTAGAACCTCAACAAGAGAAAGTTCATTATTAAAGTTGACTTGCCAACAGTGATCTTCAGTAAAAAGAAAAGGCCAATGTAATACACCCGTATTTTAAGATCTCCTCCAGACACGTCTTAATATATATCAAATACTCTGCTCTGCTTTGAATAACTTCTGATATGTTTTTTTCACACAAAAAAATTACATCTACTTCTACTAATATATTTGTCATTTCGAAAGCTTTCTGGACACAAGAAATGTCCATTCTTCTGCAGTGATGTGCAGGTGTACTGTGATACCGGTGACTAAAGGAGAGCTGAAACTGGCATAAGCCTTTCAACGAGAAAGGGCAGTGCTTTTCATTCTAGTGTTTCAAAAACATTTCCAATTTTGGTGTCCCTTTCCTGTCTAATCCTGTTTTAATTCAATTCTATTCCCTTGTTTGGTGTTTTTTTTATGATTTTCATGATTATCTGCTCTTATGTTAAGTACTTTGTGTTGCATCTCATGCATTAATTTTGCTATACAAATAAAGTTATTATTATTATCATAGTGTCCTCTGTCTAGTCCCCAGGGATCCAATCCAGGGACACTGAAATGAATGTGCTGAAAGCAACACATGCTTCCATCAAAGATATACTATAATCATGTGACAATTGTACACATAGTGGCTTTGTATTGGACTAATATGTCAGAAACCTGTCTGACTATCTCTCTTCCTCTTGGCAATCTGACTTGATGCGTTTTTAAAGGTCAGCAGCACAGAGCATAAAAGTCTAAATATATTTCAACTTGCAGCAACAAGGTGTAAGATTAGAAAGATTTGCTGTCAATGGTTCTTCAGAGGAAATCAAAGCCTCGTATCAGCAGTTCTGCTGTTGATCATGTACAGGCAACTAAATGAGTGAGCAACAGGGGGAAAAAACATCAGTAAATGTAGCAGCTGGCGGGGGAACTCAGCATATATCTTCCTGCACTGAAAACCCTAAAATTAGAGCTTCACTCATTCACAATTACTAGATGCACCTGGCCACAGAACCCATTGTATAAGCATGGGTCACTGTTCTCTCCTTACACTTAGTCACAATAGGCTGTGTGTCCTGTCCTCTATATGCTATGAGGGCAGTGTCCAAAAATAGCCCAGCAGCTAATGGCTATAGCTTGCTGTGTTTGTACTGCTGTTTATCTGGCTCTCTCATCAGGCCACAGTCTCATTAGCAGTGACTGGGGGATTCCTACCAGCACCACTGCTCTTCCAGCGTCTGTTCCCTGAGGCGCCTGAGCAATGATGAAGAAGAAGAATAAGAAGGGAAAAAAAACAAAAAACTGGGGTAGTGGAAGGTGGTAAATGGGGAGGCACACAGACAGGAAGTGGGTGTAATTTCCTCAGGAAGCTATCAGAGCCATTTCTTGTGTGACCTATCAGATGAAAAAAAGCAAGAGAGGGAAAGAGAAAGTGAGACAGAGAAGGAGAGCAAGACGGAGAGAGTGAGAAAGGTAAAAAAAAAAAAGAAGACTGCATCAAACAAACTCCTGCCACTCGTCTCTATGTTCACGTGGGAACCAGAAAAGGAAGTTGCTGCACAGAAAAACCCGGTGATAAAAAAATGAGGAACAGAGAGTTTATGTGAAAAGAGTGTGAACAAGAGAGGGTGGCTTCAAACTGCAGGGTTTACATTTCTGCACACATTAGCATTTTGAATGGGGTTTGAGACGAGATGTCTTTTTGGCAGTCTGACGGCTTAGAGAAGAATGCTAGACCAAAATTAGAAATAAGAGCTGAATCTTTAACAACATGTGTGATCATACTTGTTTCTCAGTCAATTATTTCAGGCTTTCATACTTTCATAGAACTTGTTCTCAGTGTTTTAAAACCAGAAAATCAACATTTTATTTGTTGTAGTTTTACTGACATCGAGGCCAGTATTGCGTTCATTCACTTCTAGGACTTACTAGGCCTGGTAAACATGACTGTGGCTGCAAGCGCTAGCCTATATGAACTCTATAGACTAAACAGAGAGAAAAAAAGCAAGGGGCCTAGTGAGGAGGAAGGAGGAGGAGGAAGAGAGGGAGCGTGGAGAAGAAATTAAAAGAGGGGACACACTGCAGCAGGAAATGAAGAACAAGGCAGTTACAGTGGAAAGAAAGAAAAAACAGGCAATGGAAACTTAAGTGTGAGAAACTCTGGAAAGTCTAACAAGCATATAAGCATCCTGTGTTTGAGCAGAGACCTGCACCTGAACGGTTACAAACCTTGACCAAATGGTTTTGGTTTTGAAAGAGTGAAAACATGATCTGTGGTCTGTGCATGTTTGTGTCAACAGTTTCTATGTCACAATTTTAAGGTAAATTGCACAATAAAAAGGTTGTTTGAATGCAGATTAAACAAGTTACGCAAATATGCCAAAACTCTTTCATTCTCACATGATACAGCTTTGAATGCAAACTAATATCAATTCACTAATTGTTGTGGTTACAAGTATTTTGTGAGAAAGGGCAGACAAACACTCGCTATGTTTACATGGAGCCTAATATTACCATTATAATCGGTTTAAAATCCCAAACATAATAAAAATGCTCCATTTAAAACACCTGAATCAGAACAAGCGGGATAGATAGATTAACCTGATTACTTTATGGCTGCGTAAGGGGTATGTTTCTCCACTTCCAACAAATGGTAGCTACCAAGCTAAACTGGAGCTTCGTGGAGAGTTTGTTTTTGATACAAACTCAAGAACTGAAAATTATTGGACGCTAAGACGGTAGGAAAATAAGAAATAACGACCTATTCAAACAAGTCCAAGAAAAAGTCAACGAAGCCGGGAGAGACCAAAGTGTTGGAGTGTTAAAAACCGGCAGAAAACTTTGAAGGCCGCCTGTTACAACAAAAATGGATCCGACCCCACTAACTTTCCGTTTTCAGAAAGCATCGACACATTCATTGCTTTTGCAAATGTCGCACAGCTGTTATATGCGTCAGCGGATGTATTATTAAATCAGATCGTATGAAAACAGCATGACCCAAAATCTTCAACCTGAATGATTTCAATCAGAATGAAAAAAAGTGTGCATGTAATCACAGCTACTGTCTTACTGGCACACTGCACTGACTTTACACAGACATCACATGGGGAGCGCTACTCAGCCTGCAAAAACAGTTGTGTAATGTGGCTTGGGATGAAGCTTTCTAAAATCTGAGAAAACAATCCTAATATACGTCATCAGGATTATGATGGATGGGGCTCGAGACTTTAAAGTCTTAAAACTGGGGATGTGAAACACGGACATTTACCAGACATAGAGGATGTGATTAAAGACACTATGGAGTTGCATTATGGTAGTTATGAGTTGCATCCATGCTAATGACTGAAGGTCACAACATCTATTGAAGTAAACAACCCCCAAACCTATTAAAAGTGCAAAAAATTCTTTAACAAGTATTACTTCTGAACATATTAGCCTAACAGACAAGACAAGCGTCTTAAATTATTCCACAAACAGTGACTTTATTAAAGATAAGGCTCTTATCAATTCACAGAAAGATAAGGCTTTTCAAGATAACAAGGCCTAATGTGACTGGATGTCTGCATGTTAGCTCGGCGAGGTTAAAGGGCAACAGAACAATGGTCTGAACATTATAGAGGGCAAAGTTATCCCAGAGATCTTGTCACTGCACTGACAGCAAGCAAACAACAGAGGAGAGGGTGCACTGTGAGATACTGATGCAGCAGAGTGCGTGTACAGGGGAAGTGACATCAGTGTCTGTGAAAGAGCGAGAGGTTGGTTTGTGGTAAAAAGTGTAAGAAAGAATATGCCCTCTCAAACTGCTTTTTTTTTTTAATCCTTTATCTGACAACCACATCCTTCTCCTACCATCCCCATTTAATCTCTCTCTCTCTCTCTCTCTATCTTCTGTTTCATTTTACTCACTTTCTCTCTTAACCTCTCTCTCCTTCGTCTCCTCCACCTTCGGTCGAAAATAAAGCGGCCCCTTGTGCGATCGCTCCAAGACAGCCAGTGCATTCATGGCCCGCAGACAAGGGCCAATTATGTAATTTAACGACCATTACGTAGTGGCTAAAATAAGATTATGGCCAACAGCGCAGGGAAAACACAGGCAGGTCTTTTCATTGCTTCACTGGATCCCACCTTACATGTTGTTCATTGTTTTCAGCTCAGTCCAAAGGAATCATATTGTTGAATCCCTCTGGGTTTTTCCCGATTTCAAAAGGACATTTTGCACCACAGACGTGTCTCTTCTGAGAGTTTTACTGCAATGACCTTTTCTTGATATGATGTGATTTGGATACAGCCGTCACGGAGAATCATTGACCTTCTCTTCGTATGATTTTCAGTTGAGCAGACATTGCTCTTTTTAATGATGCCGAACGACCCCCCCCCATCCCCTCCCAATCGCAGCGCAAGACCTCCCAGCATTTTCAGGATGATGTTAAACAAGGTATACCAAAAAGCAAGCTACCGCTGAACTTCCTCCCTCCTTCACGCACACGGCCACGCGTATTCGCCGAGGCTTAACACACACCTTCTCTTCATTTTCTCTTCATGTCTCTCCTGAGAGCCAAAGTACACTTCACTCTCCCGGCTCCAACAAACTGCCACCCCACCACACCCACACCCACACCCACCCCCTCCATCCCCTCTCTCCCTGTCCCCGTATGGAGGTCACTGGCTTCATGGAAACAGTTGATAGGCCGGGGCCGATCGACTGGCATGGATTGGCAGTTCACAGTGAACCTCCAGCTTGGCCTAACTGCTTCCATGTGTGTGTGTGAGTGTTTGTGTGCAAGGATGGAGCAGTAATTGAATTGCTGAGGCCAAACACAGAAACCTCTGATTTTGTGACAAAAACCGCTCCTCGTTCATTCACAAGCATGTTGTGTGTATTTGTGTCTGCGGCGTTCATTAGCTGCCTATTTTAAAATGATACCAAACAAAGCAGCAACAGCAAGCTGATACTGAATATTTTTGG